CTTGGTTGGAGAGTAGTCTCATTGGCACTCATACCACATCTTCTTATTGTATAATATGTGGTTACTGAGAAAACTATTAATGGGTCATGATTTTGCCATCAAAAACATATTAAGTGTCGTGATTTTTTCTCAAGGTTTTAATTTATGAAATTTGGGTGTTTTCCCAGCTGCACTACTGTACTCAAAATCCCATGTTTAGATCGACCCCTACTCCTTTCGGAATTTTCGGAATTTCTTCTTATTATCTAACTTTTTTCTCATTTTTTGAATAGAACTAATGCATATCATTTCATATATTTTTAACACATAATATACATAAAGCTATCATGAATACGCCATTTTATGGTGAAATAAGTAGATTTCACAAATATCTGATGCATTTAAAATTGTGGTTGTTTGCTGTAAGATTGGTACTTTCAGTTAGTTTGTTTTTTGTGCTTTATGTAGTTCAATCTTATTAAAGATCGGTTAATCTAAATCTATTGGATGTGTACAGTAGTAATTGATAATTTGTCTTGGATACACGAGTTTTTTTAATTACTTGTTGTTGGCTTTGAATTATCTGTTAATTATTAACAGTTATTACTATTTTATCGGTACTTGAGGTCATTATTGTTTTATTACGTGTTTTTTTGCTTTGTATCAATCTGATGAGTCAAGCCCTTTTTCAACGATTCTAAAGCATGTTCTTATGTTGCAATTTTTTGCCTAGGTAAGGGGAGGGTTGAGCGCCCGCCAACATGTTTCACTCTGCCATATTCTGCATATGAATGTCCCGAAAAGCATTAAAATCAATGAAATGCCAAAAGTGTTGTGTGAAAACTGTCGTATACTATCGATATCAGGGGTTAGAAAACAAAAAGTTTGCATGAATGAAATAAATATTTTATATACAGTTAATTATGGCAAATAACCGCATTTGTAATAATTCATGTCAGCACACAAGCACATACGCCTGGCTAGTGGTAGCTTCAGGGACCAAACGTCCATCGTCAGTGTCGTCAAAGCAGTGGTAGTACACTTAATCTAATGTAGTCACAACCTTTTTTATGTTATATCAGCTCGTCAAAATTGGAATTACGTTTTAGAATTTTGAAAATTCTGACTTCAAGCATCAAGCATCAACGGAAAGAAATGTATTGTCTAAATGCGTATTTGAAGCATCTCGAGCAGAACAATTGGAACCGTTAATACTTCTTACTGCCACTGGATCCATACCTCTTCTGTAGCACTGTAAGCACATGATAATACCTAGTAAAGTAAAAGGTGTAAGGTAAGTACACAGAATTGAAGCTAGTTGATTTTGGGTGTATTAGAAATACATTTATTATTTTCCTATTTTGATCGTTTAAATTTAAAAGATGCCTACCATTTGAGATTGCGATTCTCATTTTTGTTTTCAAGGTGCGATGCAAAAATGGGATGTATTAGATTGACAGTAACAACAATAGATGCCGGAAATAAAGGTATTTACTTTTAAATCTAGTAATTTGTGTCTATTCAAAACTATACGAAATCCAACAAAATTTAAAACAGGTGAATAATTTAGTATCAAATATCTTATGTGCTAAAACTAGACAATTAGGCATAACGCATCTACAAATGGAAGATATTATATATACAGTTCCTTGAAGGGACATTAGCTACGATTAAGACAACAAATTGAATTGATTTTTTGGTTTCAAACATAACTAAATGCGTTATATTGAATTTATAACTCGCTTTTTTGCAAAAAGATAGATTAATTTTGTTGTAGCCAAAAAATAATCACTTGCTACAGATACGTTATTACGATTATCACTTGAAAACCAACGTTTGCCAAATACAAAAATGACCACATAATTCCCAATCAGCAACTTTATTGAAAAAAATAAAACCCTGCTTGACGGGTTAAAAATGCAAATATTACATGTACATAAGAAAAACATACAACACATGAAAAAAGTTATATAGATAATTGGTCAATGACTATGTGGAGCTCTTTTTCGCAACTCCATGGATTGCTTTATAAAGGCCACAACATAAGACAAAATATATTTATTTGGAAAAAAGTGAAACAATTCAAGATAGAAGATCAACAACCTGCATTATTTTTATAAACAATAAACGAAAAACAATAATTGTTACAAAAGACAACCACTGGATTACAGGTTCCTGACTTCAAGTCTTGGGACACACACACACACACACACACACACACACACAATGAGGCGGGGATAATCATGTTTGTGTGCAGTAACCCTCTCCTTACCTGACTGGGACAGAAAGGTAACACCTCAATATTCGAACAAGCTGCAATTAGATATCAGTTGAAAAGGGCTTCACGCATTCGATCAGTGTTCAGCACTAAAATAACAGTAACAAAAACAATAACAAAGGACACAAATAATAGATCTAAGATTCCTCGCAGTTATTTTGAAGTTAGGTCAAATCCAATTTCAACTGATAAATGAATCACGTTTTCTCAGACTAAAACGATACATATTGTTCATGAACACAGAGGGGGTGGACAGCTATTGAGGGTGGTGGGAGGTTGGGGGGGGGGGGGGGGGGGGAGGTGGGAGAGAAAAAAAGATTCTAAAAGTGGGAGGTGGGAGATAGGGGCGGGAGGTGGGAGAAGGGTACCCCCCTGTCCACCCCCTCAACACAGTGTAGATGCAATCTAACAATTTTAATAGGTTTTTGTAAACTTTTGCATCGGTAGGACAACAATAACCAACACGAAGTAATTTGAAACATAAATTCACTTCCAATAGAATATTTGTTAGAATGTCGTTCTTATTCATGTTTAAATATTTCAACAATACCCAAAAGTTGCAAAATCGACCAAATTGTGCTGCAGTTTTGCTGCAAGCTTTGGGCCATTATTAGGCATTGCTAATTTGTGTACATGTTCCGACATGTACCAACATATAATATAGCTTTAAACGCTGTGAATAATTGGTGAAAATTCGGTATGATAATTGCCCTGGTGTTAAAATATATTAATGGCCTCACCTCTTCCGGATAGTATCGTTCTCTATTTGACCATGTAAAATTAACATGATTTGATCAACAATTCCGGTTCAATACGATTGCTCTGTCGAGCCCCATTTTCGCTTCATCGTAGCTTAATTATTTTGATGTTGATACTATAGCCCTATTTTCGGTACTCGTTACGTACTATAACTCAGACCAGAAAAAGCATAACAGTTACTTGAATTAATATTCAACCTTTCTGAAATTTTGACAACAGTGTCGTTTGAATCAATGTGAAGTAAATGACAGCCACCACAGGTATTTGGGCATGGACCCCCTTTTTGGGGCCCCCAATGTAAAAACGAAATTCTATTTTCTATATTTTTTTCTCTTCATATTCACAACTTTCTAAATTGTTTAGACATATAGCAAGTCTCATAAACCCATAACTAGCCGATTACAATACCTTTCTTCTACTACCCACGCGAAACTCCAAGTGAAAATTTAAAAAGTTTCACTTGGGGTTCGTGTGGATATATAATAGAAACGGTATTGTAATTGGCTAAAGTAATTGAGTCATGAGAAAAAAAGATTCACTTGGGGTTCGTGTGGATGGTAGAAAAGATGTTGTTATCGGCTAGTAATGGGTTAATGAGACTTGCTATATGTCTAAACATTTTAGAAAATTGTACAGTCAATGAAAAAAAAAATGTTTACATAGGATCCAAAAAAAAAGAGGGGTCTATGTCCCAAATACATGTGGCGTAAAGGGCATACGCCCCTTTTTGATAGGAAAGTATAAAATGTTTGGCATGAAATCGTCTAAAACGTATGTATTACGCTTTCTGGGATTACTTCCCCTTTTAAAAATCCTAGATCCTCCCTTGACAAGACATATATAAAGTCCGTTATCGCCTATGTATATTTAAAAGGAATCCAAACCCTACTATTCACAGCACAGATATAAAAAAAATTATGTCCCGTTATCGTATACGTCTATTTAAAAGAAATCAAGTCGTCTTATATACCTATTTATAGACAACACCCCCCGCCTTTTTTTTGTGGTTTTTGTCACATGACTTTGCCTTTATACAACACATCAACTTTTTACAATCTTTCAGTAAAAAGTAAATTAGAGATAATTCTTTATAAAATATTGATGAGGGGCCTGATGGGGGGTCTCATCACGATTCACGAGTTGATTTTTTTGTCAATCACAATTCACAGAAAATAAATTTCCATGATCACGGATCACGAAAATATAAAAAAAAAAAAATCTGTAGAAAAACGGATCACGATAGCGAAAATGCGCCGATCACGAAGAACGAAAATAACCCATCAGGCCCCTCATTGATATAGACCTAAAATATGAAATCAGTCACACAACCGCTCAAATCTAACATAAGACCGTACCCTGACCTATAGTTGCTCACTTCTACGTCATTAATGATTTGGTCTCTGCTGGAGAATTGTTTCATTGGCAATCATACCACATTTTCTAATTTTTATCAAAAGAAAGTAACACTCTAGAGTGAACCCAGTCGTCAACAGGGTAGGTAACTCATTCTTAACTAATATTTTATGACTAATAGAAATGTCACTTCAGTACTTCCATATCTAGCCCTACCGTCGTTCTTTACAGTTATGTCGTCCCGTAGATTATGGCACAATTGACGCAGAAATGATTAGATATTATATTTATTTATTAAAGAAATGTGCATTTATACCCCTAGGGGTTGAACGTAGAATGAGTAAAATATTCTATTTATGTATCAAATAATAGCCCGAGAAGTTACATATATATATATATATATATATATATATAAAGTAGTACGTAGTTTTGTGGTCAAAAACATGATAAATGAAAGCTATGAAGCATCGGGATTTCCAATGATTGGACAAATGTCTAAATATACAGTATAGATTAGTTTGTCGAATTCCAATATCACTACGAATACGGACGAAATAACACGTGATAACATATATGAGAGATAAAGATAAAATTTGATAAGGGTTGTTTATGGACGTCCATCTATTTCATTTTTATTATTATGGGTAGAAAGAAATGAAATGAACCTTTTCGCCTTTTTGACTGTCTTGTCATCAACAATTGTATGTGGTAAGTCTTATATGTACATATAGAATACAGACGGAAATGGCAGTATAGGTTTGGACACAAGTGGTGGGATTTGAAATAAGCGCCATGTTTGTGTATTATGACCCAGTTTGCCCGTTACTAATACCAAAGAAGATTTTTGATTTTTTGAGCGTAATGTAAAAACTTTTAATCATAAAAATATATATAAATTACTCGAATAGAAAATTGTGAAGCTTGTACGACTTAAGCAGTGATACATTCGCCTAAATGAAACCGTTTTAAAATGAATATTTAGGGTAGGCAAACAATGATCAACGATAGTGCCAATTTTCAAAAGTTTCAATCAATTTTTCTTATGGTTTACCAGAAAATCAGATATCGTCCTATTCATCTTTTATTTGGGGCATGTGTTTTGGGGGAATTTTTTATATCAATAAAGTGTTTGGTTCTTGATTCCTTGAACGCATCGTTTGTTTCTTGATTTCTTGAACACATTGTTTGTTTCAGAAGGAAAGATAAAACACATACTTTGTTTCCTCTGAAATTTTATAAATAAAATAAATTCAACATTGAGTTTCAAAAAAAAAAAATAATATGTTATGAAAATAATTGATTGTATTTTTTTGTATTTTAATGGCATAACAATTTTAATTTTGTTCCGAGAGAGAAAAACATGCACCACCCTCCCTCCCCACAAAAATAAATGATCGGTTCTTAGGTTACGAAGACTGTTTATTTCAGTCCTTTCGTATATTAATTTGTTTTCCTTTTTGCACGATATATTCAATGTTTAATGGACGAGGATAAAAAGAACTTACTTTGCGAACGTAAACCTTTTCAGTGAAATAAAGAATTAAAAAATATTCTATCATTGTGATGATTTAGTAAATGAACAAATGCATTGAAAGTAAGTGTCTACAGCGCACTAAATGAAAAGAGGAAGACTGGAATGAATTTGAGAGATACATCTGTTGCACTCAAGTTACGCTTTATATTCATGCTATTTGTAAAAAAGCAATGCAAAAACCGCCAGCATCTTGGACTCGTAAAGTTTGCCGAACATGATTTGGGTATAAGACTCATTATCCTGACCCCTCCCCCTAAGGGAAGTTAGATCGGATGCGTCATGTAAGGAAAGAACCCGGTTATCTTCAAGTTAAACAAGTATTTTACAAGTCCAAAGTTGGCTAGATATTGGTTCCTATTTAACATGCCTCATTTTCTATTGACATGCCTAATTTCCCATCCTTCACCTCGATAAACCCATTTCTAGGAGCCTATCAAATGAAAACGTTTTCTCTCAATAAATGTGAACTTCGGGGAGGATCAGTTGGCAGTGTGTTGTTTATTTGTTATCGTTCTGAATATGCATGGAATATTTGACACTTGCATTGACGTTAAGCAAACACCAATAAATCATTAGCGAGAACCGTGGACTTTCAGCTTTTCTCACAAACTAATCTTAAACAGCTTAAAGGGGCATTAGCTACGAGATATGAAAAAAAAAAGAATATGAATTAGTTTGGTTCAACCATTAATAAAAATGAAATAATGAAATAATAATTCGCTTTTAGCAACCAATTTGGTTCAATTTTGTCAAAATAAGCAAAGAAAAATGATTAAAATAACAAAAACGGAATTATTATAATTACATATTATTTAACTGGTAAACTATTGGAAAAAAAATACAAATTAAATCAAAAAGAAAATAAATTAAAGAAAAACAAACTGAGCCTTAAAGAATCTTTGAGGAGGGTAAAATGCAGAGTTAAGACGCTACAACAAATTTATTATTTTTTAATATATTTTAACGGTATGTTGACGATTCTGAAAGAATAATTAAATGTTTGGGCTTGATGTTTGTGATGTCGTATAACAGAAAAATGATAATGCATATGCAATAGCAATGATGAAATACTAATACAGAGTCAGAAATAAAATAACAAATGTCTTTTATAGAGACTGTGTGATGATAGATACAATCAGAGATAAGATAATGAATACTATCTATAGTTATTATAAGGCTCTATACATTTTTATCAAACTTAAATATAAATAAGGAAACAAAAGCAATAATGATAATAAATGACAACGCGATGAATCAGGTAGTTAGTTTTCTCGTATGAGTTGTTTTACATTGTCATTTCGGGGCCTTTTATATCTTACTATGCGGTATGGGTTTTGCTCATTGTTGAAGGCCGTACGGTGATATATAGCTGTTAATTTCTACGTTACTTGGTCTCTAGTGGAGAGTTGTCTCATTGGCAAACATACTACATCTTCCTTTTTTTTTTTCAAGAAACCATACTTAATCTTATTTAAAAATACAAGCTAACTCTGGAAATTACGACGAAACATAAAGGCACCTTTTATGTGTATTAAATGCAGAAATTACACGTCACATCGAAACAGTTCATAAATGAATATGCGTTTGAGTCCTTAAAATAATTCTAAAGATATGAAAAGATTTACAGACACTGGGTGATTTTCTTTGGAGTTGAGGCGATAACTCACTATTTATTTAAAACTGATGGTCAATGAAATAAAACAAATTGAGGTTTGATATATTCCTCAATGTTTGGCATTGAAAACTATAATAAATTACTACCGGTATGTGGTTTGCGAGGATAGATTAGCAATTGTCCAAAGACTTACAATAACAGGAAGATGAGTATTATCTATTCATGATTCTTTTATAAAATTAGAGATGTGTATGTTATTCTTTTCAGGATAAATGGGGAATGTGTCCATAGGACACAGATGATGCCCTCGCTTGCATATAACGTTATAAAGGGACATAACTCAAAAACGGTAAAAGTGACACTACCCAAATTTGTACTTGATCTTCTGAGTTTTCTGGTAATAAGCATTGTGTACAAGTTTCATAACATTTGGATTAGGCAAACTAAAGTTAGAGAACGGAAACAATGTTGGGGCGTACGTACAGACGTACGGACGGACGGACAGACGGACAAGGATAAAACGTAATGCCCCTCCGCTACGGCGGGGGCATAAACATGTGTAAATGGAAAAGTGAATTCTTTTGTTTTCGGTATGTGAAACAACCCACCTCCCCCTCAAAATAAAATCAGATTAAAAGTTGAAGTAGCTGGTGCACAACTTCATGTCCCACCTAAATATAGAGATATGTTTTCGTTGTCCTAATATGCTTATATACATGTACGAGCACGCGAGTTAAGATAGATCTGAATTTTAATCAGATTGCATGTTGTAATGTTATCTATCGGAAGAGAGAGGCATGGGAGAGAGAGAAATTATATCTTTAACAAGAAAATTATACCCTACATAGAACAGCAGCTTCATTAAGAATCCATATCAGTTTTTCTACACTTGATATTAAAAAATAAGGTAAAATCATGCTTCTTTGTGTATCAATTATCTGATCGTTCATGCCAAACAGACATTTAGGTTCACGATTGCATTTCTTTTTTTAAAGAAAGCAACTTGTTTTTATGTTTATATCGGGTTATGTGACCGTCGGCAGTGTTCGGATGTCATCTCGATAGTTAATTAGATGGCGTCTACACTAAAATACACACGGAATTCTGATAAATATTAAAATACTAAATATTTAGTACATGCACTGTTAACTGTTTATTTCAGACTTATTGTAATTTGGATATGATTTTAGTATGTTATAAATCAAATTTGAGAATTTGAGTCAAATCGTTGAACATGATTTTGACAGCTAATACCCCTTTAAAGATGCACAGATCTACAGCATACAACTTTATTTTTCATGGGGTAAATTTGTTTGTTGATATTTTTTCTTATACAGTAAGCTCTATGGGTACTAGACCAGAAATTGTTGATGACATTTTACCAGAGGTGAAGCAACAAGGTCAGATTGGGTATCTCAACTGCTCGGTAATAAACTTGGATCCATCATCAGCGGAAGTAAGTATTTATTTATTTATTTATTTATTTATTTATTTATTCATTTATGAATCACTTATTAAAATGAATACCGTTTTATTCGGACATTTATTATTAGATGATGAGTTGATTTGACCAGTTACTGTGACTTGACTGTAAGTGTTGCTCTCCACCTATTGCAACTTATTCAAAATTCTGACCAAATTGCAATTTGTTTTATAAAACCAAACTGTTCAACATTTCAGAAATTTGAACAAAATGCTTTATTTAATCACCTTGCACTTTCACGACTTGACTGTGGTTTTCTACAGCATTTTGTTCAAATTTCTGACCAGTTGAACAGTTTGGTTTTATAAAACAAATTGCAATTTGGTCAGAATTTTGAATAAGTTGCAATAGGTGGAGAGCAACACTTACAGTCAAGTCACAGTAACATGTCGATAAACTGTTGAGCAAACATGTGTTTAATATATAAAAAAAAGAATGGTAAGCGTGTCCTTAAGAAATATAAAAATTTTAATTTCTTTTTCATTATTGTATAAAACAGTTCGTGATAGTGTTATTACAAAATGTATCTCTATGTATTGCAGCTACAATGGGTTAAACGAACAACACCATCAGGAACACCATTACTTATATCATCGAATGAAAATATCCATATTAATGATGTAGTTGAAGGTCATCCGAAATATTATATCAGAAAATCAGCTTATAATAATAGGGAATTGTACCAACTTATTATACGGGCATTAACTGAAACTGATGCCGGCTACTATTCGTGTATGATCAGACTCTCCAATCAGAACTATTTACAATGGCCGAAAAAGCTTGGTCTTCTAACTGTCCAGAGTAAGTAAATAAACAATTGATTGCACATGCTGGTATTTCAAACACTTTTTTCAACTAAATTCTGAAAAAAATGTCACTTTTGTTTGTTTTGTTGTTGTTGTTGTTCGTATTTTGGGGTGAGGTAGCCTAAGGGGAGGAGATATTCATGATTTCTTTTTAAAATATTACGAATTTGGCTGGTCCAAATGGCAGACCAGTATAACAAAGTATGATATATTTAGATATTGTTATCCTACATGCGTCAGCTGTGTGCCTGCATACCTAAGTGGTGTAGGCTGAACGCTTAATTTTCAACGAAATGTATGCATTTTCCAAGTAAAAACAAACATAAAAAAATATCACGTTTTAGCATATTACAGGAATACAAACGTGAAAAAAATCCAAAAAATTGGTAAAACTCTCCAATATAGAAGTAAATGACAAATTTACTAAAATATTGAACAATTATTAACAGGACAAACTAATTTTAGTTGATGACAACAACAAAACAATTCTAAACAAAGACTTTTAAAGGCGAATCATTGCAACAAGAAAGGTGCAAGTAAAATCGAAAAAGAATGAGCAATGTTGCGCATGGGTTTATAATTTTAAACCTTCGTTCAGCCGTTGTATATACTCAAAGAGAAATAGTGGTTGACAAAACAGAAATAAACAAAAAGGTATGCATTAATAAATATTTTCAAATATGTTTTAGTTGCACCAACAGTAAAATTAGACAGTGCATCAAATATTGTTGTTCAGGAAGGATCTAACATAACACTGAAATGTGAAGCAAACGGTATTCCAACTCCAAATATAACATGGAAACGAGGCGACGGTCTTCCATTACCAGGAGGAGGATTTCAACATTGGGTAAGGCGTGGTTTTAATATTTCTTTTCTAACATAACAGATCTTATACTCTTTTGACAAAATTTCGGACAACATGACGGGTGTTAATTTTTGAAGCAGATACTGCTTACACTTCAAGAGCACATGATTTCACACATATATACATTTAGATGTGGTATGATTGCCAGTGAGACAACTATCCAACAGAGTCCATAATGACGTGAATTTAAGCATCTATAGGTCACCGGACGGCCTCCTACAATGAGAAAGACCCAAACTGTATAGTCGGCTATAAAAGACCTATACATGACAAAATGTGAAATAATGAAAAAATCAACGTCCTGATTTATGACAAAACTATAAACGAAAAACAAACATAACAGATAGCAACCAACGACAACCACAGGCACCTAACTTGGGACAGGCACATATAGAATGTGGCGAGATCAAACATGCGTGTGAGTAAGTTCAAATTCTATGATAAATAATAGATATCTCGCGTTCTCCCAGACTAAAGTATCAACCAGTACACTTCCAACGGATTTAGTGTAAAATTAAATGCGTAATAAAAAGTCTGAGAAAAGCAGTACCTGTAGCAATGCCAAAATACAAGTACCTAGTATTTTAAAGGTGTTTGGCTTCAGTTTTCTGCATGTGTTGTATGGGAGAGAGAGATTTCTTGATTGTTAAACATAGAGAATCATCATATTATGAGTCTACTTTTTTTCTTAAACAGGGCGGAGTTTATCAAATCTACAATATAAATGCAGTAAACCGTGGACAGTTTTTATGTATAGCTGACAATAATGTGAAGCCACCAGCAGATTACGCTGTTCAGATAGAGGTTACGTTTTCACCATATTGTGAGGCTCAGTTGGATTCTGTAGGCCAAGTTCAGAATAGGAGATTTAGTGCCAAATTAGACTGCATTGTAGCAGGTAAGGGTATGATTTAAAATATTGTTCAAAACGCTTCCAGGAATACATTTGTTTGAATGAAAGCAGTAAGCGAGGCTTGTCGAGTCTTTATATTTTATTTTAATACGAAGAAAAAGCAATTCAATTTTTCCGACAGCGAAAAGTAAAATAACAAAAATGCCAAACTCCAAGGAAAATTCAAAACGGAAGATCCCTTATGTTGTTTAAACCAGCAGTTAATTAAGAGATATATTTGATGTCGTCTTTGGTTCTACTGTGTTCTATTAGTTACATAGTTTGCTAGTGGCCTAATACGATATATATGGGGTCAGTAAATTCCAAATGGGGTGAGAGCGAAGCTCGAACCCCCATATGGAATTTACTGACCCCATATATATCGTATTAGGTCACTAGCACACTGTGTAACGAATTTATTATACCGACTATCTTAACATGTGGTATTTAGGTTAGTGGCCTATCAAAGTGATCAAGTCTTCAATACCGTTAATTTTAAGAACCTACTTCCATTGGTTTTTACAAAAACAAATGCCAACAATAACAACTTGTTAGCTTTAAATATGATTTATGAATTTATTTCAATTGTTCATCATCAATTTCCTCGTCTATTGAAACCTTTCAGATTATTCATCAACACTGTGTTGTTTTTATAAAGGGACGTACGTAACACCACTACTAACCGTGTATTGAAATAAGCCCCGCCTACTAACCCCATATGAAATATACACGGTATCCACGCGTTTGCTTTTAACCAATCATATTCCTAGAAATGTATAGGAGGTAAGATAATGTCATGTATCCACTATCTTTCAACTGATATGACCAGCTTTGCCATGTTCCTATCTATAATGAGGCATCTGTATATGACTTTTAAATCACACAAGATGATTCTTATAAAATAAAATGTGGTATGATTGTCAGTGAGACATCTATAGACAAGAGTCCAACTGCCGTAGATTAAAGCAATTATAAGTCACTGTACGACCTTCAACAATAAAGACAAAAAAAAACATACCATAAAGTCGGCTTTAAAATATCCCGACATAACAAAATGTGAAAATTTAAAAACACGGCCTGATTTATGACAAAACTGTAAACGAAAAACAAATAGGACAGACAGCAACCAAACAAAACCACTGAGACTTGGGACACGCACATGTAGAACGTGGCGAGGTCAAACATGTTTGTGAGCCCTCAACCGTCCGTGAACCTGGGACAGTGGTGTAACAGACTTAAGAACAAACTTGAAAAATCAGTTGAAAATGTTCTCCCAGACTAAGCAAACATCTAACGAATTTAGTGTAAAGACATGTGTAGCTGCGTTTGAGATGTCATCGCACCCGATCTCAAAACATGCGATTATGATCATTAAATATTCCTGTTTGTTTATACGGAATCGCGTAATATTTTAAATGCCATTTGTATTCTCTATTTTGAAATTGCTATGCTGCTTTTATTTTGAGAGAAATTGACAACTATTCGAAGCGAAATATGACACGAGGATAAACTGCGAAATACCATACGAACATTTTGCAGCCCGTGGACTTTATTCAATTATAGTGTTTGAATATTGCATATGATTATTTGTAAATGTTTTATATAAAACAGTTCGTTGTAGTTATAATATATTTAATAGAAAAGATTAATTACGATATGATCCGAAAATTGTACGTTCTAAAGATATTATTTTTCGTTTTGTCTAACAAAATACTTTACGAATTTGTTATCATTCGTAGATTCTTGTGAACGAAATAATTTCATTTCGACATAACGAAAGTGGCATGTGACTTTACCATCCTTTTATTCAGATTTATTATTGAAGCTTGAAATACGTTTATATACACAATTCTTACTTCAAGTTTTGAAATGAAACAATCGCTATATTTGGTTGTCATTTATACCTTTTTAAGATGCAACAATTTAGTTCAAATCAAATTTTAACGAGATGACCACAATTTCCCTCTTTGAACCCCATTTTTCTATAAAAAAGCACAATGACCTATGTTTTAATTTGTTAATTTTCAAAGATTTCAAACAGCACATCCATTCATCCAATTCTCTTTTGTGTTTTTATTTTACTCATGTTGATTTTTAGACTACAATCTCAATCATATGACTATCCCAACAAAGTCATGACTAAATTTTAATAGTCCAAAAATGCATGAGTTTACCAGAGGCCGGCTCAAAAGAAAGATATTCCGTACGTAGATAAAACTATGAATACAACTATTTAACGTTTATTACAGCAAACCCTAGAGCGGAAGTAATTTGGTATAAAGTAAATCCAGCTACAGGTTCTCTCGACCAAATTCAAGATAATGATAAATATGATCTGAATCAACAAGATGACCAGAGATTAAAAGCTGACGAGAAGTGGTACTCACTTACAATAAAAACTGTTCAGGGTAGTGACTTTGGAAAGTTTTTTTGTCATGCGCAGAACCGGTTTGGTAAAGGGAACGCTTCATTTGTACTTTTCGGTGAGTAGACAATATACTGATGAGAACATAACCCGAAAATTGTGTACACATATTATAGAGTGATCTTGTGTTTTAGTATTTATTTTACATTTGTACAGATTCGTTGATTTGATTGATTGATTTGATTGATTGATTTTTTAAAATTTTAACGCCGCTTTTAGAACTATTTGCTATTTCGTGGCGGCCAGGAAGCAAGAAAACTGGCAATCCTAGTGAATTAAGATTGAACCCACTTGCCACCTGCGGGGCTCGGACTCACAACCTCAGTGTTGACAGGCTAGCGGTACACGAATCTAAGTAAAATATAAATCTCTGATTTCGTAATGCTTTATGAATTTTAATCATATTGATCCATATTGGTGGTACAGTAGTTGAACTACTTAGACCATTCGGCCACCGAGCTCCCAGATTCATTGAAACGAAGATATTCTGTGAAACGTTACACTCTATCATACCAGGCTTCATGTTGTGACCTCGCTGACCTTTACAATTTAACGCTTGCACGAAAATGTAATTTGGTTATTCTGCCAGAATTATTAAAACATTTGCTATGTTAACTGATAACTGGGACAGGCACATAAAGAATGTGGTGGGGTTAAACATGTATGTGATCGCTCAACCCTCCCCTAACCTCGGACAGTGGATCCAACAGCACAACATAAGAACAAACTATAAAAAGCAGCTGAAAAAGGCTTATAACTCATCAGATCGATACAAAGAAAAACATCAAACAAAAAGACAGACAGGATGTGGCAGGATATATATCCATCCCTCATCCCTAACAACAAAAAATACACTAAGTACAGATCTGAGAGTACTCGCAGTTACTGACAGCTAGTTCAAAGCCAATAACAACTAATAAAAAAAATCTTGTATCTAAGACTAAAATATCAATCAGTACACATCCAACATCCAATGGATTTAGTGTAAAGACGTTATTAACAGTCAGAGATAAAAATGACCTTGTGCAATGCCAAAATATATGTATCGACAGATTGTAGTACCGTGAAAGTACATATGTGTAATATTTAGTATGGTTTTAATTTACTGATAACAAAATCAATATTTATACCAATAAAACAATATTCAAAGATTTAATTACAGTGTTGAATTGGTAACCTTTTAGAATAAGTTTATTTGAAGGATTGATAAGTTTACCCGGATCGTATCTAAATTTCCGGGCTCGGTTAACAACATTACCGTAAAATTTAGGATGTGCTATTCCGTTTGAAATAAGTTTTCTACAGGTACAGCTAAACTTGCAAACCAAATCTTTGTATCTATGGAAGAATTTAGTAACGGTTTTAAGTAATTTGTGGTAACGAAATCCCTGACTTAATAATTTACTAGTAATACATAGATTACGCTCATTGAAATCCAAAACGTCACTACAGACACGGGCATAGCGAACGAGTTGGGATATAAAATCACCGTAAGACGGTGCCAAAGGAACATCACCTTTTGTCGTAAATTTTTGTGAAGAGTTTCTGGTGTACTTCATTTTGATAAAAACCGGGCATTGAACAAACGTCCATACAAGTGGGAGTATTGAGAGATGTAACATGTAACTGTCTTTGAGTGAGCTCTTTTATAACATCTAGTAACATAAACGTTTAATTATCTTAAACATAAATGAAGTTTCATTTTGGAAACATGGCTAATGATCGCTTTAGTTCGATGTAGGCTTTAATGTGCCTAAAAAAAAATTCTAATTGTCACCTTCAGATCTTTCCTTTCACACAAAAAATAGTATTCATAAATTCACGTTTTCAATCATGTCATTAAGTAAGTCTGCACTTAGTTTATCATTATGACAAAGAATTCCCACGTCAATGCGTTTCTTACAATATTTCTATGTGTTAAGGATGTTCGCTCCTCTGTTTCAAAATAACAAGGTTTTTGAAAAGCCTGTTATAAATTGATAGTATATAAATAACTGAACTTAAAAAGTAGAAAAAAATGACAAGTCCGTGTCTTTGTTTTGAGATATAATCAATAGAAAATTTGGCGGGAAAAAATTCTCTTGATTTTTTCATAAATTTAACATTGGCATCTGAATTCTTTCAAAAACTATTAAAAATAACAAGGATTTTATATGATTCAAAAGTGGCTTTTAAAACTAAATGTTATAAAATTATGCAAAGAAAAGAAGGGGTTAGCGGGAAATTTTTTTTATTGGCACAGCATGGATAAAACTAAAGGATTCCGAATATCTGACAAAAATTCAAAAACAATAGTAGAGAACATCCTTAACAATAAAGACTGAGATAAATAAGTAACATTCTCTCCATTTATAAATGTTAAATGTGTTTTGTTCATAATTTTTTAAAATTTATTTCAGAAACAATGGAATGTCAAGGACCAAACTGTCCGTCTATTGGCGGGAATGGAGCACAAAATGTACACATTTCTGTTTTAACTTTTACACTTACAATCATAGCCAGTTATTTTTTTATATTATTGGAAATAAGATGAATGAAGGGTTTTCTCTTGTACAAAACAATATGTCTCTGTTTTATAAATGCATGTAACTTTTCATTTTTGATTTATATTTATATACTTGTATATAATACACGAAGGATCACTTCTCCTTTGGTATTGTTTGGTTTAATTGAAAGCATTTAACTACCAAACTAAATTGATAATATCCATCTTTATGTTGATGCACATGAATTGATTGTAGTTGTGTAATGCAACTTTCAGCACTATTGGCTTAGGATACCGGAGTGCCCGGAAAGAAACATTGACCATCGGCAGGAAAACTGGCATTCCAGGTCAATTAAGATTGGAATCGAATGCACCTGCCACGTGCTGGGTTCGAACTCAAAACCTCAGTGTTGACAGGCTAGTGATATAGTAGACGAATTACTTAGTTTACTAGACCACCGCGTCCCCTGATGTGCATGTACTGAAATTTGGGAATCACAATACAAATAGAGCGATATATATGTAGTAGACAATAACCCGTTAATAGAAGTTTCAAACTGAACCACAGTAGATCTCTAGATGACTAACTCTTAGATATCTTTTCTTTATATATTTGTTTTTATATATACTCAAATGACTACGAAACATCCGGTTATGTCTAGGGGTTGACATTACTACTACATTGTATGCATAATACTATATAATACTTGGAAGAACGCTTTATTAGTGAGATTTTGAAATGCTTCATCTCTGCTGTGTAGTTTGTTTCTTTATTGTACATGTTGTATATATATATATATATAAATACTGGCTGTATGTTATACATAATACATGTAATATTTTAAAGTGTTTTTCTTTTGTTGACATTTTAATGTAATTGATTTTTATTAAATGAATTTTAATGTCAACATGCTGTTATCTATGCGCTTTATTGTTAATGGAAGAAAATACTGAATCACATTGGATGTAGAATGTTTTAACTTTTTGGTACTAGTATTTTTTTAATTGTTTTCAGAAATATAGGTGTGAAAAAGCTCATTTCTTTTCCGGAAATGAGTACCAAATTTGATACACTGTTTAGATCATTAGAAAAAAATAAAATATTGATCAGGGACAAAACAATAATTATATTAGTTGTGTGAAATCACTTTGAGCTTGAGGTAGAAAATTATACTTCCGAAATGATCGCCCCTAATTGGCCGATGATAGAGGAACATTGTGAGAACATTGTATTTAAAAGAAAGACAATCAATGAGTCATTATAAATCAAATGTTAAAAAACAAATAGCAGTTGTAATCTTCCTGTCTTTTTATATAAAATGTTTCTATCTGAATGGGTTTTTTTGTGTGTGAATTTTACTATAGTTTTGCAAAAGGAGATGGTTTGGAGTAGATTTCCTAAATGTTTTAAGCTGTAAATAAATCTTTGAATGCATGTTTGAAGGATGACAATACTGAGGAGACGTTTGGACAGTTAATGATGAAGGGATGCCATAGTAAAGTGTCAGCAATGCAAAACAATCAAAATTAATCACTATCATTTTTTGGAACATGTTAACAAACGAATAATATTTATGTATTTATAGTTTAATATCAGTAGAAGTTATATGGTACATGCAAAGTTCTTTTCATTTTAATCTTAATTCATTGTATTGATCAATGGCAACATAACACGCATACTTGTTCAAAATAAAAATATATATTTCAACTATTTTCTTTTAAATCATCTAAAAATCCAGATGTAGATTTTAAGATGACGTTATACAATATCAAATGATGTATGCACTCCTTCATTCCCATATTCTAATAAAAATGTCATATAAAGCTGGGACTATTATACTAACTATAGTATAATAGTCCCAGTATAAAGGTATAAGAAATGTTAGTCTTACTTTGCTATTATAGTATTGTAAAATATGGAATTGAAAAATGTATAACTCATAAACATCTTGAAAATATCTGTACGGAATATTTTTGTAAGCAATTGTTCGCTGACTGGGTTTTTCATTTTCATCATCTCCAGTTTATTTCAACAAATGGCAGTACAGTTGTAAGAGTCAGCACACAAAATCAAGTTTCTTGTCGCACAACTCAGTATTCAACTTAACTGGGGGATATTTGAAAAATCCAAGCTGCCACGGGGGATTGGGCTTTACTTACATGCAGTCGATGGCAGCTGCGCATAGTTTTTCTCTGATGTGCTATTGTATTTCAATTATTTATTATTTTCAGTATTGTTTTTACCAAACTGAATTATCATAAAAAATAAATACGTCAAAACAATTAATTAATTTGGAACACGAGAGTTTTCATCTACTTCAGTGACTTTACCCGGAGTTTTAAAAAAAGGCGGACCATCTGTAACAAGGGAAGTCATGATCATCTAAATTCGACGAGGTTTCCTTCCGACTCGAACATGTGTTCCAATTTGTTGATTTACACCTATATATGAACCGAATTGACAAAAATTCCTATAAACATTCATACAAATTAGAAAAAGTTAGTTTCAATGAAGCAGTCATTTAACACAAAACAGTGTTATACTAGGACTGATTGATTTGTGTTTAGCACCACTTTCAGCACACTTGTGCTATTTCGTCTTGGTCAGCTTTTATTATATTGCCTAACAAGATTTTGTGAGGTAGACGAAATTGACATGAAAACGAACGTATTGAAATTTCATGTCCAAAAAAAAAACAGATCGGACATATTTTAACTTTATATACTGACTACTTTTGTTTGGGATTAATCGTAAATATAACATTATGATGAGACTGAAAAAATGTTTTTTTTTGTTAAGATAAACAATAGTTTTACCTGGCGTAGCGGTGCGTAAAATGTATTTCGGTATTTCTCTTCGAAAAATGACTTGTTTAATGGAATAAAAGGTCTGATTTGTAAAATTTCTTTTTTTTCTCGGGAATGGGCTATTAAAAAATCATTTATCTACTCTATATGTGGAAAATTTTGTGAAATATAAGAAATGGCAATTCTTACCTTTCATACCTTTAGATAAAAAATAATATGCACTCATCCAGTGTCCAGTTTGAAGGTCACTTAAGTTAATGTACACGTGTGTGTACATGTAAAAAGAAAAGCAATTATAATTCAGTTTTTAACACGTTTAAGAAAAAAAAATTTCAATACATTTAGTTGTACATTTTCAGCTTAATAAATTTTAAAAAAAATAAATAAATAAGGCACCGACTGTTCATATTTTTTTATTACAATCATGCACGTTCTGATTTAATCAATAACGCATGTATGAAAAAATTAAACAGTTTGAAGGTAAACTAATAATAACTTACTACAATCAAATTGCTTAAGATTCAATAACAATGACCGGTCCACACCACAATAAGTAATAGGGATAAACTGGGTAGGGAGAAAATGCCAGATATTTTAAGTTCATTTTTTTTAATAACGAATAAAAATTTGTCACACCAAAAGTTTTGCTATAGTTTCAAAAACTTGTTGTTCTGTATTGGTATAGTTTTCGGATCTTTCGTTTGCGTATTTAAGGCAATAGAAAGTTTGGGCTTCAAAAGTCTACATAATGAATGACTTTATACCGAAAATTCGCCCTTTTAAAACATTTAATGTTTCACAAATTATACATGAGTAAAAAGTAACCTAATTTCATAAAACACTGTATTTTTTTTTATTCTGATTGGTATAGTGGTATTGTAATAAAGTGCGTTGAAATGAACCGTGGTATTGCACACATCGAATTCACTCACAAAATGTTATCACACACTATAGTGGAGGAAGCCGGAGTGCCCTGAGAGAACCACCGACCTTCGGTAGGAAAACTGACAAACCTAGTCAATTAAGATTGGAGTTGAGTGCACCTGTCACGAAGAGATTCGACATGACAACCTCGGTGTTGACTTGCTAGTGAAACAGTAGTTCGACTACTTAAACCTCTCGGCCAGCAAGACCCCTGTTATACCAGAATGTCAAAAAAAATTTTTTTTTTTCAATAATAAGGAATTATTTAAAAGCATTAATGCTGCTTCCATATTTTTGCCCTTTGACAAATCGGGTTATTTTTAAATCTTGTGAAATACTTAACGTTGAAGGTTTCGCTTGTCTGTAAAGGTTACTTACACAATTTTGTCAATATAATGGAACTATAAACAAAAGTCATACAAGTGGGACGTCTAACTAGCTATAAAACCAGGTTTAACCGACCATTTCTTCGGAAAATGTCTGTACCAAGTTAGGATTATGGCAGTTGTTTTTCACTTGTTCGTTGATTGATTGCGTTTGGATTTTTCAGTTTTTATAAACTTCCACTTTTTGAATTGCATTGGAGTATTTTTGTTATACTTTTTTACAGCAAGAAGATACGATTGCAGCGTAACAGCAAAGCAAACTAGAAAAAAAGATATACCGGTATATCAAATATGGTTGTGAACTCTGTATTGTAGTGGTCACAGTGATATATTAGTTAAATAGAGTGATAATCCGCTAAGACGGAATGGAACAATAAAAAGTTGGGTTTAAGTCGATCTGCTTACGTAATCAAGACGTCATTTATGAAGCTACCTATGAATGAAAGAGGATGCGGGCTAAACGTCAATGACTAGTCAATTCAACGAATCACAAATCCTTAAAAATTATCGATTAATAATATTATCTCGTACCTGTTTTCTCCGATGCACACATGTATCATTATTGAAACCTAGCAAATAATTCCGCTCACACAGGTGCTAGAAGCCGTCTTGACCTATAGTTGTTAACATCCTCGTCCTATTGTTTCTGATGGAAAGATGTCTTTGTTGGCACAAGGCTTCCCACTGGTATTTATCTAAATAGGTTACAACTTCCTCAGGCAATTTTGGCCTCAACCGGCTATTTTGGTGGGTGTCTTTTTGGTCTTCTATTGCTGCTCATTTGTGTAAATAGATTTGTCTTCCAAAACCTTTTGTCGCGAGCGTTCAGTTTGAACCCAGAAACACATTTCATGCACGTTTTATCCATATCATTTCCTATACTAGAAATACCCTTTTACTATACGCTGATTTCTCACGTCAATTAAACGTTTTATGGGCTAACTGGATCACTGTATCTTTGAACTGATAAAGTAATTGTGACTGCATGACATTTTTCAAACACCGGTCTTTATTCTGATATACAGTATCTAACCCTGCATAATGAAATATATTAATTTTATCATTTAAAAACAGTTATCGAAGCAGTCATAAGGAAGTTATCCCCATTAGAATATTCATCCCTTAGCTCAAAAACATTGGATACCCACGTCCAGAGAATAATCTGTATGCATTCAGAATATTTGCCTAGCATGAATTACGGATCTTGTGTTATTAAGATTTGAAGTTACAAAATTTAAGAAATTAAATTAGGGGACTCAGTTTATATCTCCCGCATGCAAATATTTGATTCCTTGACCGGCTTTGGCTATACCGTTTTTTTGTTGTTTTTATTTTTGGTTTATAAGTGCTTCATTTTTAAATAAATTTCCTTTTCACAAAAAATTCTTATCTCGTAATTACGCAATTACGAGAAAACTATCGCGTAATTACGAGATAATCATTGATTTATCTCGTAATTACGAGATAATTATCGCGTAATTACGAGATAAGATTTTTATCTCGTTATAACGAGATAATTATAGCGTAATTACGAGATAATCATTGTTTTATCTCGTAATTACGAGATAATTATCGCGTAATTACGAGAAAACTATCGCGTAATTACGAGATAAGAAGTTTTTTATCTCGTAATTACGAGATAACTATCGTGTTATTACGAGATAATTATCGCGTAATTACGAGAAAACTATCGCGTAATTACGATAAAAGAAGTTTTTTATCTCGTAATTACGAGATAATTACGAGAAAACTATCTCGTAATTACGAGATAAAAATTCATTTGGCCAAGTAGATTAAGAGGAGAGAGATTTTTGTAAAAGATTAAAAAAATTTACTTAATTGCAGAAATGTCTTTAAAGGGCAATAAATCCTTAAGGGGTCAATTGACAATTTTGGTCATTTGACTTATTTGTAGATCTTACTTGGCTAAACATTTTTGCTCCTACAGTTTATATCTTTCTATTATAATATTCAAGAAAATAACCAAAAACTGAAAAATAATCATTAAAATTATCAATTCAGGGGCACCATCCCAACAACGGGATGTCTGATTCGTCTGAAAATTTTTACCTTGTCATATTTGCTCTAAATGCTTTAGTTTCAGAGATACTACATTGTACTTAATTGTCATTTGAAACGCCTCCGAAAAAAGTTGGGCTATACACGAGTGAAGCTTACCTAGGATTAAACATTTGGCTAAACGTGTCTTTGCCATTCCGCCGCAACGGTATCGTCGGAGCAAATATTTTCGTCTGCAGGACTGTAAGTTTCAAAGTTGCGAACCTGACTCTCCCCAGAAGCAGTTATCAAGATAATATGTCTGTATTATAACTCATTCGTTGCACCCTGTGGTGACCCTCAGTGAATGGTTGAACGTATCAGTGACTTCTACTCATCACACTTTTGTTGATCATTAAATGTGTTCTCTTTACGATTACGTATAGGTAGATAATACTTGGTCATGTTTTTTGAATATTTACAGCCCGAGGCGTAGCCGAGGGTTTTAAATGTTCATAAAACATGACCAAGTATTGTCTGACCAATTTAGAACATATTCACACCTTCGAGTGACATAACAAAATTAGCCTCT